TTAGGGTTTAGGGTTTAAGCAGAGTTTGAGGTTAGGCAATGGAGGGGTCATAGGGCTATTGCTCCAATAACTGAGAATCAAGCATGGAGCATGAAATTAAAATTGGGGTGTGTACTGGGTTTGCATAGCTGACCTCTGAATTGTAGGGACTGAAGGACGGCAAAAATAGAGACCAGCACATCGTTGGCGATCTATAGGGGGACTACTATAAGGATCCCGCAGGATTGCAGGGGGGTTTTGGGTTTTTGTGTGGGTCTGGGATGTTAAGACATTTAGGGTTTAGGGCACTGATGGGCTTGCACCGCTTGGGCTTCTGGGCTTTCCGCGCTTATGCGGTTTGGGGGCTCGAGTTTGGAGCATGGTCTTAAGACTATGACTACGGACCTTCCAGAGGGCCGAACTCAGGTGCATCTTCCGTACTTCCTGAAACAGGGCGAGACAGATTCGAAGGCAGATTCAAAGACAGATTCGAGCGCCTCGGTAGAAAACAGGCAGATAGCTCTGTAAATGTGAAATTAGCCATAGCCTCCTAGTATCCTTAGTATCCTCCTTCACAACCTTTATATTTAAAGCCCTTTAAGGAGTTTAGGCTATGGCACACATGCGTTTTCGCATGGACTCCAGGTTGGAGTCTGTTGATTGGAGTCCGGGTTTTGACGTTTGACAGTAGCTTTCGAAATAGCGGAGCAGCAAGAGCAATAGTAGTAATGGTAATAGTAGTTATAAGCGTAGTAATGATAGCAATAGTAGTAGTAATCATAGTAATAATAAACGTAAGAATAATAATAATAGTAGTAATAGTCAATGTTGGTAATAGTGCTATAACTAAGTGTCACAGCCGCAACACTGCGGTAACAATAGTGTATGAGCAAAGAGTATGCAACTGCATGGTAGCATTAAGAGTTATGCAGCAGCGACACGCGCATAATCCCTATATAACCCAATATAACCCTAAACCCTAAATAGTAAGAGCGCTTAAAATAGTAGTTCCATTATCCCTTCATAATCCCTATAATATAACCCCAATATAACCTTTTACCCTAAACCCTGAGTTATGCAGGCAGCGAAAGAAGCGCAGTCCGATGTGATCCTCCTGGCAAGTTGGCTTCGGGGGCTTTGCCTCTCTGCAGCATGTTCACCTAGCGACTTTAGGGTTTAGGGTTCAGGGCCTTTCAGGGTTTAGGGTTTAGGGTTTGCAGGGCTCCATGATAGGAGTGTGGGTAGGGTTCAGAGAAAGAGAAATGAAAGGGAGGGAGGGAGGGAGGGAGGGAGGGAGCACATTGAAAACATGTGGAAATCCTTCAAGGTCACTGGTCTAGGAAGACCAATCTGACCTAGGAAGCAGTACCTCGACGATTTCAACATTCGCAAACTATAGTCATCGTCGCTATCCAGAGGTCGTGACTTGTATACTTATGGATAAGCCCAGCAAGGAACAGACGAGACTGACTTACCTGGATGCTTGTGGGCAGGTAGAGGTGGGGTTCTAAGTATTTTTGGGACTCAACTACCTTTGGGACTCATCTAATTATAGTCCCCCTTACGTAGATAGAATATGGAGTATATGGGGATCTTATTATAATATACCCAAAGCCATATTCTACCTACTTACGGGGGACGTACACGGTGAATGCGGTTGGCTTACTGTGTGCAGTGCAATTTACTCGTAGCACCGAAACTATCATTTGACCGCAGAAGAGCAGACCTTAGGGGACCATAGGTGTAGGGAGAGAGCCGATGCATTATGAGCTCTGCTCATGAGCCGGGCGGGTGACTGCAAGCCCTAAACCCTAAACCCTAAACCCTAACCCTAAACCCTAAACCGTGTGTCCTCAGTTCTTCCTGTCCCGTAGGAACTCCTAGTCGCCATTTAAGGGAATTACATAAGGGGTCTTTAGGGTTATCTTGGGGTTATTTAGGGATTATGTAGGGATAATGGAAAAGAAAATGGAAACTATTATTTGGGGTTTTGGGTCTTTAGGGTTATCTTGGGGTGATAAAGGGATTATGTCGGGATAATGGAAAAGAAAATGGAAACTATTATTTAGGGTTTTGGGTCTTTAGGGTTATCTTGGGGTTATAAAGGGATTATGTAGGGATAATGGAAAAGAAAATGGAAACTACTATTTAGGCTTTTGGGTCTTTAGGGTTATTATTCTTTGAGTCTAAACCCTACACAATCCGGATACAACTCCTAGAACTCTTCGGAGGGAATCCTCATCAAGCCAACCCTTTTATATATGTATATATATATATAGATATATGTAGTCCCCCTTAAGTAGATAGAATATGGCTTTGGGTATATTATGATAAGCTCCCCATATACCCCCATATTCTATCTACTTAAGGCGGACTATAACCCTAAAGACCCAAAACCCTGATTACCGTAAAGACCCCTTATGTAATTCAAGGCAAGCCCTCGTGGAGGATATCAAGGGTACCACTGGAGCCAAAGCAGTGCCCCATGCGCACTCTCTCGGCAAGAGCCTGGGATTAGGGTTTATAGGGGGCGTTAAGGGTATACAGGGGTGACATTATCCGGGGGTAATGTAGGGATTTGGGTTTAGGTGTTTGGGGGCTTATGGGGTTCAGGAAGATCCTCGCCTCTATAATATTTTGTTTTTGGGGAGCGTAGGGTTCCTTAAGGGTATTGGTGGCGCGGCGAGTCATGCACACTCGGCAAGAACGGTGTGCATGGAGATCCAGGTGACAATGGTTTATGCAAACTTTGATCCGGAGTCCTGTAGAATTGAGCGCCAGAAGTATGGTCAACCAGAATCTCCAGACAGGACTTCAGGCATTGGGTTTGGGGTTTCTGGGATCTGTCAGGGCGGTTAAGCAACCCCCAAAGCCCCTAAATCCGAACAAGAGTCAGATCTGCTGTTGCAGGATACTTACTGTAACACAGGGCAATGTTTCTGCATGCCTTTCTGGAACCCCAAGTTCGAAAACTGATTGTTACTTCTTGTAGTTGCCCTCGACTTCGAACCTACCTGGATCCTGGATGTCCCTCATTTTCTGAATAGGCCTATGAGCTGCCTGTAACAATCCAAGACTGAACCCCAACAATGCAAGGAAACAACGGGTCCAGGTACAGTCACCGCTTCAAACCCTCTTGCTGGCAGATTGTCGCCCGATCCTGCAATCCAGTTTTGGCCTGAAACCCCCAAATCCTCAACCCGAACCCTTTAGCCCTAGACCCTAAACCTTGTAAACCCTGAATCCCAAACCCTAAACCTGAAATCCTAGACCCTGACCCCTAAACCCTGAACCTTAAACCCTGAAGATTCAAGGGGCAAACCCTCAACAAGGATCACCTTGCCACCGCCTCCTCCTGTGGAATGCACTGTGGAGCCGCCAGGGCCCGCAAGATTTTGAAAGAAATCTAGTGTCGCATCGGGCTGTCGGGCTATGCAGAGCGTATAAGGGTATTGAGGTTACTTTGGAAACCCCCAAAGATTGAAACCGTGATGGCTTTCGAAAAACTGCCAACCAAAATGAAGGCTCAGACATGAGCTTCATTAGCATATAGAGAGACAGGCTTTGTGACGACTTGTCTAAACAGAGTTGCATTTTTCTCAGCATAGCGGCAGAGCAACAACCCCCAGCCCTACACGGCCTTTAATCCCTCAGCCCCGCCCTACATCCTGAAGCTAAGGAAAGCTGGGACGCGAGGGCAGGTGCGTACGCTCAAGCGACGGCTTTCAAACCGCTACGTCCCAGAACCAGCGCAGCAAGAAAACAGCCGCCTGCAAGAATTGGGCAGCATTCGCATTGTTGGGGGAGGAGATGACGGCTAAAGGGAATTAATCTCGAATGTTTTTTCACCATTATTGTTATCATTACTAGGATGATTAGTACTAGTATGATGCTTTTCAGTATTATGGTTATTATTCCTAGTATTATTATTCATGTCCCCTATATGATCCTGAATGAGGACCCCTTCAAAATCCCCTGACCCTGTTTACCGCTGAAGCTCCTGATGGAGAACACCCCCACCAGTTCCGCTGAGGCGAAGGCAAAGATTCAAACTGGTGCCAGACAGCTTGGGATGCAGGCCTCGAATTTTGTCCAAGTGCAACAGCGTCACAGGATCATGTGAGAAGTATTTTGGGATTCTCAGAGTCCTTAGTATGAGTGAGACTACCCTCTTCTGGGTATAGCACTTGAGAAGAATGATAGATACATCATTTTTTCCAGTTCGACCAGCGAACAAAAAGTATACTCATGTGTGTAGACGCGTACCCACCCCCGGCGGCCGGCAAAATTTGCCTGAAGCAGCAGAGTGACAAGAAGCTGGCCTAAGTTATTGCAGAGTTTTGGCTGAATTCGTTGTCATGCATTTTTGAGTTGGGAAAAGGAATACCTCACATTTATTCCGGTGAGGCTCGCCGGAGCAGCCTACTCTACATTGTCTGCCTACGCGGGTAAGGAAGTGTTTGTCCCTGTTCCTAGGCCCTAAACTTTACAACCTACACCCTCAACCCTTAAGCGCATATCGTGTGTTTTTTGTGCGAGGCAATCCCTGCAAGCGGAGCAACACCAAGACTCACGAGGAGCAGGCCAAACAACAGCTTTGTCGTACATAGTAAAACCTAAGCCTACATGGGAGGATACGGGGCAAATCGGGATGATGCAAAAGAAAGCGGAAACCACTACTTAGGGTTTAGTATTTGGGGTTTAGGGATATGGGTGCTTCCCAAAATCAAGGGTCCCTTGGATTTTTTCTTTGAGTATATTACCTCCCAATGATGGAGAATTAAAGGGACAAGCACATGGACAATGAAATGGAAGCTGGGGTTAGATGGGGATTAGGCTTTCCCAAAATTGGGGGGGGGGGACTTTTTTTGAGCATTCCCAAAATGAGGATTATAGTTTTCTGGCGTCTACATTGGGTTCCCCCCTTTCTAGGGACACTCCCACGTATCCTCATAGAATCCCTATGCCATCTCTTATATACCCACTATCCAACTTCTATGGAAAGTTCCTTAAGAGTGCCAATTGGCATTCTATGCGTAGTATTTGTGAGTTTTGGTTGCGCGTCACGTGGCATTTGTTGTGCAGTGTCTCTACACTCTACACAATGATACTTCACCCCTACTCACTGCTTTGCGAGCAGGGGAATCAGAGATTCAGGAAATTGTCAGTGAAAACATGAACACAAAAGCCACCGTGAACTTTGTCAAGTTTCGGCAGAGCAGAACAGAACAGAACACAGTCCTTGACGAGGGAAGGTGCACAGCTTACACTCATATATTGCGTCTAATTCCGTCCTAGTGAAAAAGCAAAACAAGAGGTCAGCCTACCAGCAACCTGCGTTTCACTTGTGGAACAGCAGGTGGCCAGTTTGGAATGCCAGGTGCAGGGACGAAGAACACAGGGAGACAGAAAACTCTGGGATGGAGAACGTCTCATCAGGGCTGAGGGTATGGCCTTGAGCCTAGCACTGTAGCCAATAGTAATAGTAGTAATAATAGTAATCATAGTATCTGTAGTAGTAGTAGTAGTAGTAGTTGTTGTTGTTGTTGTTGTTGTTGTTGTTGCAGCAATACTTCAGACCTGGCTGAAGTGTGGAAGACAAGCCAGTGAGTCCTTGTGGTCCTTGTGGATCTGCATTTTGGCAGTTTACAAGCCCAGACAGCTCAGATGCCCCAAGGGAGGGGCAGAGGACTTCGTAAGTAGGTGAATAACACCTATAACCCATATAGTAACCCTAGTTATCCTAATTATTAACCTATTTACTAAGTCCCCCTGGCCCTCCAAGCAGATGCCCAAGGGTATGGCTTGGGAATGGCAAAATATCACATAAACTGTAGTCTAAACTCCTTAAAGGGGGTTAGTATGGGGGAGCATTGCAGGGGTTATTGAGAACGTGTTGTTCATTAGTAAGGACCCCAGAGTAGCGCCATTATGACCTAGAGGTTAGGGCATGAGGCCCCCAATAATCCAGAAGTTTCCGTTTGCTTTAGCATTCCTTCGTTCCCTACTAAGAGCCCGCAAGTACAAAACGCAGGTGCCCTGGCCTCCCCTGCTTCGGGGTTCTCAGTTTCTTCATGGGTATAAAATTTTTAGTGGGAGGGGTAGTATAGTCCCCAATGAATTAGCAAGTAGTGAAGCGGGGTGGGCGGTTTCTCAAATCCCCGAACGCGAAAGTGTGTTTCAAGAGTTGCTGGCAGGCTTGCCCAAAGACGCTTCCCAAGCACGTTTTTTCGTCGGCGGCAGGCCACTTGCGGCACGGATCTCGTAGAAGTAACCTCCAGGGAAGTGAACACTTGTTCCTATTCAGTGCTCATTTCTCCACTCAGAACTGCCATGCAGTAGTGCAAGTAATCCCTCCGCCTAAAAGTAATATATTAGGGGGAGGAGATTACGTTCTAAGGGGAGTCCTCAATCTTTTGGAGGAAGTGAGGCAGGTAGCTCGAGCCTGGGTGTTTGGGAGCCCTCATAAGGGACATCTGTACCTATGCAGAGGGTCGAAGTGGGCTACATATGATACTTATCAATTTCGGGTGCGGCCTTCGGGTCGTAATTATAGTTTTCGGCGCATGGGAGTTGCTCATATTCGGCAGAAGAATTCTTCATGAACAACGCACAAAAATTGCAGGCAAACCATTGTAACTGCGCGCTTCCTGACAGGTGAAAGTCCTGCTTTCGACGCCGCGCTGCCACCATTCCCACCACTGCCTTTTATCCCACCTTTGGACCTGGCCGCGAAGCAGGCATCAGGGCATGCAATCATGTTTCAGTAGAGATTATAGGGTCATGTATTGTTATATCAGGCTATGTAGGTATGCGTCAAGAATGGAGAATCGAATGGAGAAGAACATGGATAGGTTGAATTCTCAGGGCATACAACGAGCGTCCTGGCAAGTTCCTGACCTAAGCTTGCGCCTATTCTGTTCGTGTATTTAAACTCTTGTGGCAAGGTGCCTCAGCATGGTCACTGCTGATGTCTGGCCTCCAGCAATCAACCTTGCATGGAATACACCACTACTTATCGCGTCGCACCAAAGTGCATGGTGAACGTCTTAGCATATCGTCCCTATACAACCCAATGGGGACCCTGCACATTCTCTATATTACCCATATATATATATACACACACATATAGATATACACCCTGGTGCAAACCTCAAAGCCGGACCAAGTTGCTTTGTCACCGCTGGGTCGGCTGGCGGTATATAGGGGATATCTAGGCGTGGTCTAGGGATTATATTGAACAGAAAATGGAAGCTACTGTTTAGGGTAAACGCACCTGCTTCTCTCAGTCCCAACTAGCGTGCCGACAGCCCAACCTGCATAGGCTTGACCACATGCTTGGGATGTGAGATGCTGTACGCGTGAAGACAACACAGGGGTCTGGGAATAGGACTCTCATAACTTTTCCGAGAACTATGCACCTCGTTCTTCCAGTCATACAACGTACCTTCGAGGCCGATTCATTCGAATGCTTCCACATTGCAACTCTAAACCCCTAAACCCTTAAACCCTAAACCCTAAAAAACCCTAAAAACCCCAAACCCTAAACCCAAAGCAAGTCCTCAGACCGCACTTCAAAGCCTAAGAAGCCATCAAGATCACATGGGAGGTTTCCTAAAAATAGGGATACTCTTAGGGGATCTTAAAGGGGTTCCAGGGGGATATATAGGGATTAGGGTTTAGGATTTGGCAAAATTGATGGTACCGTTTTAGTGGTTCCCATAATAAGGGTTATATTTCGCAATCTATTTTGGGTCTTACTATGTGGGCAAATTACCACATGAACCTCTCCCAAGATCCTCTCCGAAGCCTCCACCCCCCCAACCTGGGAGTATCGGGCTTCTCCAGTGTCTGCCCCCCAGCAGTTTGATCATACACTCTGCAGATCCCGCAGGACAGAACTCTAGGGGCTTTAAAGGGGTTTATAGGAAACTACTACGTAGGATTTAGGGTTTAAGGTTTCTCAAAATTAGGCTCCGAACCATTCACGCCTGCGAGCACAGTTCAGAATCAAGACGCCTCCTCCCCTTAGACCCTAAAACCTAAATAGTAGTTTCCATTTACTTTCCATTTACTTTCCATTATCCCCATACAACCCCCCACCATCAAAACCTATATTCCCCCAGTTTCCATGTCATTTTCCATTTTCTTTTCCATTTGATTGTCCATTATTGGGAAATGGTTCTTCCTAAACCCTAAACCTTGGGTCATTGCCCCTCCCAGTAACTGTCCTTAAAGGGGCCTTATTAAGGGGTTCTTATAACTCCTATAACCCATTGTGGTAAGGGGGAATGACCCAACCTAAACCCCCTTAGCAACCCCAGGCCCCCTCAAAAGTAACAGGTTGACATTTCTCGAAAAATGGTTTAGGGTTTAGGGGGTCTCCCCTCATCTTCCAAAGAACACTGGGATTCCTCTCCTTGACAAGGGCCATAGTTAGGAGAAATCCCCATCTCTTCAAGGTCCTACATAGTTTGTTTTCGTTTCCACTTGATTCTCCATTATCGGGGCAATATCCCTCAACCCTAAACAATAGCTTCCATTTCCTGTCCATTATCCTTATATAGCCCTATTTAAACCTACATGCTCTATATGTGTACATATATATGTATATTTAGATATACAGGTATACATGTGTATATATATATATATACATCCCTATAGAATCCTAAACCCTCCATCCCTAGATTTTGGGAATGTCTATCCATGCTTTGGAGGATGCAACCCCGATAAGCCGATGCCTGCTCAAGCCGCGCCGGGATCAGGCCGGGGACAAAAAGGGAGAAATGGGTATATAGGGTTTAGGGTTTAGGGTTTAGGGTTTAGGGTTTAGGGTTTGAAGGGGGAAAATGGGTATATAGGGTTTAGGGATTAGGGTTAAGGGTTTAGGAGGATATGGGTTAGGTGGACCCCCTGACCTGCAATAGTGAATATATGAGAGTCCTCTTATATTCCTAGTATACCACGATTACAGGGTGGGGGGTCCGCCTAAGGGATATGTAGGGTTTAGGGTGAAGGGGGTTAGGGTTATCTGTGGGTATATGTAGGGTTTTAATAGGGTTCAGGGATATGACCTCAATAAATGGAGTATCAAATGGAGAGGAGCTTGGAAAACAAGATGGAGACTTGGAGTAGATAGTGGCTAATAGGGTTCTCATGCTGTAGGGGACCAGATCATGGCGGTTTATGGGGTTCCTTACTAGAGCTTATGGACATTTTGTAGGGAGCGCTTCGAAATGGAGAAACAAATGGCAAGCTAATTGGAAAATGTAATGGAAACTGAGTTCATATAGGGCTCCAGGTGGATGGTAGGTAGGGAAAGCCCAAGTTATGACCAGGCAATATCCTGTATTCCCTTGAATTGCTATTGTGCATACCGCTCGTGTTTCGTAATCTGCCTGCTTGGGTGCAGAGGTTCTGGTTCAGAGCTATTAGGGGATCCTTATTATTGTTGTGGCGACGGTTATGTAGGGTTATAGGGGTTACTACACAGTATGACCTGGATACTTGCCCCAGTAGAATTTGGAGAGAATAAGTATAGTATGAATGTATAGCGCCCTGAATATCACCCCCAATTTTAGACCTTTCCTCCTTTCACCCCAGCCTGCAGTGCGAGAGGCTGGAGCGGCAGTCCTGCAAAAGTCTGTGGTCATGGCCAAAGTGGATGAGCTATCAGCTTGGCATGAGGAGCTGAAGGCAGGCATGGTTACAGCACTCTGTACCATCATGCGGGTGGCATACTAGCTTTACTGCGCTCCGTGTGGAGCATTTTTAGTTGTCCATCGCCTCACGCCTGCCAAGCTGCTCATGAAAATTGCTTGCCAACAGTTGCTCACTTTCCCTCTGTCCGCGATCCAGAAACACATGTTCAGCGAGCAGCTTAACTCACGCCACCTCAACCCTACACGGGCCTCGAGCCCCTGCAAGGCTCGGGAGAAATACCTTCTTCTTTGTGAAGACACAGTCCGTGAGCTCCTGCTGTCGGAGGTGAAGCCAGACACCCTGGACGTCGATGTGCCCCCTCTGAAAAAGAGATGTTCAGCAGGTGCGGGAGGAAGCGGAGGAGGAAAAGAGGAAAAGGAAGAGGTGTGTTGGCGTGGGTGTAGGTAGGTGGGAGATTGAGATGAAGACGGGCGAGGGGGAGGCAGGAAAGGCGGACGGAAGGCTGAGGAGGAGGGCGCGGGAAGCAGTGGTGACAAAGAATGGCAGCCTGCACACGGTGGCAACCAGATTTTACGTGGCAGACAGAGGGATGACATTCATTATCCAAACACCACTTGCAACTGTACAACCAAGAGCATGAATGTCAAGTAAGCCGGAACATGTTGCAAATTGCTTTAATGGCGCCTGGTTGTTCGTGCAATGTTCGTTGTTCAATGGCGCGGTGTTATTGTGGTTCTCCTTGCGTTGGCGTCCGTTGCGATGATTCGCGCCGAAATCAGCTGCCTGGTAAGGACGAAATGTATCTGGACAGGGAGAAGACGGCCATCCGTCAACTGGAGGCTTGGGCCCAAGGGCAGGATGCCCCTGTGGCATAAGGCGCGGTCCTGCCAGCAACGCTTGCTCTCCAAAGGGCGTGCTACATGTTCCTGTAATTTCTGGCCTTGATGATGACGGTCAGTATTCCGTCATAGTATCCATTCTATTAAAGGTGGTACACAGTGCCATGCCCTGTACCCTCCCCTGCCTTCCAGGACCTTGCGACAGCAGTTCATCTTTTGGCTTTGAAACCTGCAATGCGATCCGGGGTAGGCCTCTGCAGTCTGCGGGGGCACAGGACGCCGATCATGTAGAGCTTGCATGCATTTGCAACCGTTCCCGAATTCGCATTTGGCAGCGATTCTCTTAGCTGCCTTGGCTGCTTTCCGCAGGCCACTTGCTAATGTAAGGGCCAAATCCTGAATGTTCCGAGCTGGACAAGTTCTGCCATGCAGCCTCATGTACAAAGTCACAGCAAACGGTGCAAATGTCTTTTTCCGCTTCGCAAGTGCCGGGCTAGATCAGGCCGCGGCAGCTTGCGCATGTGGTGTGTTTTCTGCAATCGAAGCGTTTGATTCCTTCAAGTTGGCTGGTTTTCCTGCTCGAAGAGTGCATCTCCGGCAAAGTCTCAAAGACTGCCACATCTCACCCTTTCCGGGACATAGTCTGAAAGACAAAACAACCACATATAATTAATAACCTTGCGTTGCTGTGAGTACTGACTTAGCGGACAGCATTGCTGTGATATCTACTCCGCAACTTGCAGCCGCACTTCATATGCTTACTGGCCCAAGATGCCAGGCATCAGCTTGACGCTTGGGTTAGTTATACTGATTGATCCTGATGAAATTATGAGTGCTGTCCGCCGAAGTACAGGCACGTGGAAGCAGCAGATGGGCACCAGTACTCCAGTACCTGAGGAGCTAGGGCGTAAAAAAGATCAACAGCACGGAGTTGTGGCAACGCAACAGTATGGAATGAGCTACCAGCATTGTCACGTCGGCTTGGCTGACATGCCGGCTTCTTTGCGTGCCAGATCCCTTCATGATCCCCCCAAATGCCGTGTGGACAAGATAGGAGAGAAAGGTTCCTCTGGAAAGCAAAGCATACTAGTACGCTAAGCTTGCCTGGGCAAGAAGACAAAGCAGTTCCCGAAACTGGGCGTACACTTAGTGCTCCTATATAGGTTTACGTAGTTTTTTTTAGTCCCAAAGATCCCTATGTTGCATTGCGTATGGGATGTTTCGAAGAAACATTCTTCCAAACATTCTTCCTAAGCGGCCAGTTTGGAGGTCACTCCGTGAAGTCGGGGGAGATCATGAAGATCGAGCCACGGATTCCAGGGAAAGCCTGAGGGACTTCTTCAGAGAGGAGCTTCCTCCCATCAGGCCGGTTCAGGATGTAGGATTTAGGGTTTAGGGTTTAGCTGGTTGAGCCAGGTTATATAGGGGCTATATAAGAATGGCTGAATGGGCAACTAAGATTTAGTGTTTAGGTAACATTCAAAACTGGTAGCCCTACCATACACGCACGCGCACCTCCAGAAATAGCATGGAGCCCCAGCCAAAAGACGGACAATCATTCTCCGGCCCGCCCAAAGCAGGCTTTCCCTACGGTCCCCGATGAGGGCTGATTCAGCCAACGTTGCGGCAATGCCTTTGCGCAGCACATCGCCAGATTGCAGCCGCCAGCCGCGTGACCAGGCAGTTTAAGGGTTTCGGGTTTCGGTAGGTGGGCCTGTCCATAATGACAGAGCCCTTTACTTCCATAACTTGCACATTGAAAGCCTGTTGTTCAAGGCAATTAGTTTGTATGCTATGTAGGTATACTACACTTGACAGATCGTCGAAGTGAGCCCAGTGTAGACAGATCCACGGGCTTCGCGATTTTCATTCCCCGAATCCCCCCATCTATCCCCATGACTTGTTCTGTGTCACTGGAACCAGGCGGCCCCGGGCTGTTCAACACCAACCCGAAAATGCGGCGCTGTCAAAGGATTCCGTGCCCCAATTCATGGCATGAGGCGCGGTGGGATAAGGTGTGTAAACAGGCAAATGGATATGGTAGCTTCACTAATAAGAGGGGGATCTCAGTATGCACCCCAGAATACCTTCATGTTTATAATTGGGCCCCCCTTGTTTTCGGAAACCCTGATATACACAGTGGGAGGACTGCGGGATTTCAAGCGTTGAGGAAGTTGCCCGGACTCCAGACAAGATGTCGCTTCGATGATGACAGGGTTTCGCAAGTTTGTGTGAAAATTTCAAGGATTTTCAGTAAGGCGACCTTTGGAGGCCCTCTGTGTGCAAATGGCCAAATCCTCCTGAGCTTACATATTATTTTCTTGCTCGAACACCGACCCCCCCTTCTAACCTCATCTGTAGCATGCTTGATGTTCGGGACTTGGGTGGATGTCTAGCACAAAGTGGAGGAGTGCACTGTGGTGCAAACGTGCAAAAATGGACTGGCGGTGGAACAGTATGCTTCCTTTATAGTCCTCAAAAACTAGCCAGAACCATCCTATTGACCACCAACCTTGATGAACCCTCAAGAGAGACAGATTCCCTTTCAGAGAAGGCCAACTTGGCTTTCGCTGAGATTAGTGGCCGCTGTCATTTGCACAGAAGGAAAGCAGAAGTCCTACAACGAAAGACTCTTTGAATGATGCAGTCATCAGATTGGCCCTGACCTATGTCCTAAGGTACCCAGGTTCACACACCCAGAAAACTACGGGTTAATTGTGTTTTTGGCTTTTGTACGGTGAAGGTGTAAGTTGAGCCAGGCTATGCAGAGGGTACAGAAACACCATGTGGGTAGTATTTTGTTTGAGGGTACTATGAGAACCAATATAGAGTAAGATTATGTCTTTCTTTTGGCTATAGCCCCTTTATATAAAGAGCGTAACATGACTAAGCTCAACCACCAAAAAAGCGCTACTCAGGTCGGGGGTTGATCTAAAGGTCCGTCCTTTTGAGGAAACTATCTGCGGATCCGTGGGCCTGTAAGAAGAATGTGGTTTAGGATTTGGGGTTTAGGATTTAGGATTTTGGGTTTGGGGTTCAGGATTTAGGGTTTAGGATTTAGGATTTTGGGTTGAAGGTCTAGGATTTAGGTTTTAGGGTTTAGAACCACCATAGGTATCAGGAGTTCTCATAAGCACTTAAGGACAGCTACTGCAAGGGGATTGACCCACGCCATGTGAGTAGTATTTTATTTGGGGATACTATGGTACCCATTATAGAGTAAGATTATATCCTCCTTTTGGGGTATAGTATTACATATAAGGAATATAATCTTCCTGGGTTCAACCACCAAAAAAAAGCTACTCATGTGCATTCCCTGAGAAGGCTGACTGCGCAATGCCTTCAGGCCTTGCTATGGGGCCATTCTCAGCTGTGAAGGGATATAGTCCCCCCTAAGTATTGGGGTTTTATAAGCCATAGTCTAAACTCCTTAAAGGAGGTTATATAAGGGATTATATCGAGGATTCCTATAGGGGATAGTAATGGGGATACTAGCAGTTTAGACAGTAGCTCATATTGGGATAATGGAAAATAGAATGGAAACTACTATAATGGAGAATCAAACGGAAAAGAAAATGGAAAATGAAATGGAAACCGGGATTATAGGGTAGTTAATAGGGATTAGGGGTTATATGAGC